ATTAAATGTGAAAGGGATCATATAATTAGAGCAAGTGTCTGGTGATAACAATAGATAGAATTAAATAGGAGACAATGTTCCTACATGGGAAGCAGTCCACAAAGCAGACTCATGGAATAACAGTAGCTCCAAAGAGCACTCTGACCTCAGAATCTGCCCTTAAGGCATTTTGGTCTGGCTCAAAAGCACATGAGACCATTTCAGACACAGGAAGCCAAGACATGTGGCAAAAAATATCCTACATGAAAGATCTCTGTAAGACCCCACCGGAAAGAAGTAGCCATCAAAGAAGGATGTACTTTTCTCTGAAGGGAGGAGATAACTTCCACTTTGCTTATGGCCTTGCCTAAATATTGACAGAGACTGTAAACTCAAAAGGCTTCCATAGCATTGGCGGCTCATTTCAAGAGCTTCATCAGGTGATTGCTGACATCATACATAAGAGCGCTAATTGTTAAATTAACAGGAGTCATTGTTGATAGCGATATACAGAGTATACTAGCCTTATCCATAGTAATTACACTATCCAATAGAATATCAGAATTTCTTGATCCTATCCAGCCATAATTTAGAATGCATTGATTAACCCTTCTCTTCACTTACGTCTCATTTGCCTCCCAGCTTCTGGTAACCACCACTATACTTTTAACTTGTGAAATCACTCTTCTTAGACTCCATGTAAATGAGATCATGTGATGCTTATCTTCGTGTACTTGGCTTATTCCACTTACCATATGACCTTTAGATGCATCTGTGTTGTTGCAGATGGCAAGATCTCATTCCTTCTCATGACTGAATACTATCCCAATGTGTATATACCATATTTTCTGTATCCATGCAACAGTGGACACTTTGGTTGTTTCCATTGCTTGGCTACTGTGAATAGTGCTGCAGTGTAAATGGGAATGCAGATGTCTCTTTAACAGACTGGTTTCATTTCCCTTGGGGATTTCCCTTCCTTCCTTCTTCCTCCTCTCCCCTCCTTTCCTCTCCTTTCCTCTTCCTCTCCCTCTCCATCTGCTCTTCAGTGGTTCATCTCTTCAACTTCTTAACTAGTTGTTTCCTCAGGTACTTACATCTTGGACCTTTTATCTTCAAAGTCAGTACTTATCTTCTTGGTGATCTTATATCATTTCATGGCATTACAACTGTGGTAAAAATTTCCAAATATATAATCTTTTCCCTTGAACTTCAGGCTCATATTTCTTATTGTCTACATGGTATCTTCACAAATTTTTCATACTTTATATGTCTAAAGCCCAAATTCCAATCTTGCCCTTCATTCATTTTCCTATAGTCTTCCTCATCTCAGTAAATGACAATTCTGTCCTCTGCTCAAATCAAAAAATATGTAGCCGCCTTTGACTTCTTCTAATACCATGCATCTAATCTGTTAGAAAATCTTGTTGGCTCTACCTTCAGAATATACATATATCTATATCTATATCCATATATATCTATATCTATATCCCCAGTAGTGAAATTGCTGCATCATACAGTAGTTATATTTGGGGGGGTTCAGTTTTTGTTTCTATAATGGCTGTGGTAATTTACAGTGCCACCAACAGTATGCAAGGGTTCCTCTTTGTGCAAATCCTCAGCAACATTTATTAAATTGTTTTTTTTTTTTCGGCCATAGCCAATTTCAATGGAGTGAAGAGATAGCTTGTTTTTATTTGATTTTATGAAAGAGCAGAAGAATTGGGCACTTTCCCCCTTGTATCAGTTGACCATCTGTATGTCTTCCTTTGAGAAATGTCTGTCAAGCTGTACTGCTCATTTTCAAAATGGATTGTTCATATTTGTTTTCTTTTGAGTTGTCCGAGTTCGTTATGTACCCTGGATATTAACCCCTTGCCTTATGCACAGCTT